ATACTCTTGTTAATTGTCATGCAAATAATGCCATTCAACAAATAACCTAAATGCCAGTAACATGCTTCAATTCAACAGGACAATCGTCATGCCAAGTGAAGCCTCAACCTCACAGCTGGCAGACAACTGGAAACACAGACTCATGTTCTTGCTTGTTTCCCCCGTGGAATGTGCATCCTTTCTGTCAAAGTTGCCGAATTCTCAATCTAAGATAAGATCATCATTTATTTTGTTTTGAAACACTAACAGTATTCATATTCAAAAATATGTATATGTTAAGTGAAACAAAATAAGCTGTAGTCAAGAAAAGACAAATTCAAATTTTTTAGTCTGGGGGCATATGTTATTAAAACTTCTCAGATTACACAACGTTGCCACTCAATGTGATCCCCCTCAAAACCAACACCTTTAAAACAGTTTGCAGGAAGCTTTGCCTAACACAAGAGAAAGCGTTACCACGGTTTTAATTCTCATTCCACCGCACGTTTGTCGTTTTGTTGATCTACTCCACAACAGAGCTTTTGAACATCTGAAGGATCGTCTTTTGCTTATTCATAGGTAATGAACAAATATCATTTGCGTCACTGGTATTAACCACGCAGTTCAAAACTTTCCCTCCCTTGATGCTGGGTGACTTCATTCGCACTCTGGCAGGGGACTGCCAGTTTTCATTGCAAGAACCTTTCCGAGTCTTGCGATGATTTGTTTCAGCCTGTTTTTTCGGTACCTTTGAGTCTTTTACCATCTTAGAACTTCCCTTTCTAGCAGGTGAGTCTTTCACAGACTGAGGTGGTTTGGTGCGAAGAAGGTACTCATCCGGAGAGCCCTTCCGTCGATTAAGTGTCCTTTCCTCCTTGTTGATCTGTTTCTGTAGCTGCAGAGCCAGAAGCCTGTCCTGCTCCTCTTGCATTCGCCTTTCATAGAACTCCTGCTCACAGGCTTTCTGCATTTGCAAGTTAAAATCATTTATCTGCACCTCTTGGTCCTCTAAACTTTCTGGAAAAGTTCTTCTCCTCTTATCAAGCACACATAAGTCAACCACTGCTTCAGCTGGTGGCTCTAGCAACTTTCTTTTTGGAGCCTCCTTAATGTTCTGCAGTCTCTCTGCTTTCTCTTCATCTGAGTGTCTAGCCACCTTCATGACATCACGTATTACACTTCTGCTGTCAGACATCACAGAATTTGTTGCTGATTGAATACATGCTTCACCAGAGTTTTCAAGGTTTATACTTTCTCCATGTGTTAAACTGCCACTGTCTGACTCAGTTCCATCATCTTCTCCTTTGGATCTATGAAGGTCTGCTCTAGACCCTTCCCCTTTTGTGATTCCATTAAGCACATCTGGAACTTTGTCTCCTAGACAATTTGGTCCTGGTGTTTTTTCCTGCTTGAGAGCGGCCATTTCCCCTGAAGCTGAGGCACTGAAATAGTTCATGCATGATTCCAAAAACGAATCCTTAGCACTAGAATCTTTAATCACACCGGTCAGCTGTGGAGACAGTGTTGGCATTTCCTCTTGTTCATCTTGCCACACAGAACTGCTGCCTTCTTTGCTACTGGCCTCCTGAAGAAAAGGGAGACACCACTAAATAAGTAAATTTATCAAAAGCCAATTGGTATGAATAAAATGCAAATCTTGCTTCTCATAGCTGCACTGCTCTTAACTACTCTGGGATATTAAGTTGACTTCTTCTCTTTTTAAAAAAACCCACATAATTGTTTAATAATAATGACAGTATTTAACATAACCTACAGAAGCTTAGCTAAAGGACTGAAAACACAACTGCAGCATTCTTCTCTTATCAATGACTCAAATCAGCTGCTGAAGGTACCAGCATGCTCATCCTCTTTAGGAGCCTAACAGGAAAGATCAGACAGACATACGGAATGATGAAAATCAGAGTGCATCCTCCTCCAGCGAGCTCCAGAACCATCATTTTAGTTTTATACACCATTGGTTGCAACCCAAAGCTCGCTGAAGATGTTTATGCAAGGAACTTGTAAAGGGTATACAAAGTAACTATCAAGTAAGCCGTAGGTGTGCATCTGCTGATTGTCAAGTACGGTTTCTTCCCTTTCCGCTTTGTGGAATCATGAATACCAAAGGCAGCTCAAAAAGGGGAAGATAAGCTGCCCAGCGCTGATGTACAAGGGAGATATAGGATTGGCAATCTATAGCCAAGGGGAAAATAACCCAGAATTACTAACACTGCTATTTATAATAAAATTATTCTAGTTACCACAGAGCCAGAGTCACTCCTGCCTCTTTTTGCTGTTCTGGAGAATGATGCTGATCCCACCGTATGATGAAGCTTTGGAGACAGATACCTTAAAGGAAAAAAAAAAAAATATATATATACCTTTTAAAAGTTATTTTTTCTTGAATTGTCATCCCTTTGCATTACTCAAGATCTTCAGATTCATTCTGACAAACAAAAAAAAGAGAAGGACAAGTGTCTCCCTTCTGCTCCAAATTATACTATGAGGAGATGTTTCAACATTCTACAATTTACAGCTGCCCCTGATTATCGAGGGAAGTTGGACTACAAGGAAGCAAATGGAGCAGAGGGACACTATACCAAGAAATAGATCAATAATTAAGAACAAAAACTTGAATTATTTACTTCTGAATGTCTCCAGAGTTGCTTGGTTTGTTCTTCATCTTGCACAAATTAGCTGGGGATGTTTCAGGTGAGAGACGGCCTGCTGGTGAAGGGCTGCTGGGCATGTGTCCTTTGGAATCATCATTCTTCATTTACAATGAAAAATTGCATTATATAAAACAAAACACAACACGAACTGGAGAAAACCCAAAGAACTACTTTGCTTCTGCTGCAGAATTAGTTACTTTTGTACAAAAAATCTAGAACTGTAATGGATAGTTATGGAATAAGAAGTCTTACATGTTTGATACACTTCTATTAAGGGACAAGAGGTTTTGCTCAAGAATAAGTACACAGGTTTCCTCATTAGGACTATTATCAGGTAGCAAAAACCAACCAACCAAAACCCCAAAACACGTTAACATAACAAAAAAATATACAAAAATGTAAGTTAAACTTTCATCATACATTCCTTTTTTTCAGTACAGGTTACAGACATCCATTTCTTCGTAATAAAGAATTTTAAAACCACAGGAAAAAGAAAGTATTCAGAAGAAAAATGTTTTAAAATGTTTCACACTAACATCCATCACACATTTCCAGTCCATATTACACAGAGAAGTTTGGAGTATTTCACCCTCCCGTTTCAAACATTAATGGTCGCTCAAGGATCTAAAGTACTAGAGACTGACAATAGCTTCCAGCTACAACTGAAATAAATTTAAATGACTCAAAATTTTAACTTTTGCTCTGGAGAGTCTAAGTTGCTTGTACTATATTAGTGTTTTCTACTGTCCCTCTTGATCCTAACTCACCAGACTGTTACTCAGTTGCCAGGCCAACTCTTCATCTTGCTTCAGCTGTTTCTCCATCTCGCTCTGTCTCTCTTCTGCCAATCTGTTTTCCTCCTCCTCTTCTGCTAGAAGCCACTGAATGTATTCCTCACTTGCCTTGTTCTCCTCTTGTTCGTGCGCTCGCCTTTCTGCCTCCACCTAAAAAAGATTTTTTTTTAAAGATTACTACTGTAGGACCACACTTCACACCACAAACTCTCAGCTGACGCTTCTTAAACGTGAACAATCCACTATTCACAAAGACAATCTGCACACTTCAAAGCCAATATTTAATTACACAGCTCTCCAAAGATGTAAGAATCAAATTGATATTGCGCGTAGAGTCATTAGTTTGATCACAGTGACCTAGAGTGATCAGTCTACACTGGTTTCTGTAAGTCTATATACCGTTAACCTTGCTCACCTGCAAGGTTAAATTCCTTTACTCACCTTTTCAAGGTGTTAGTAAAAATTTACTAAGATCTCCAAATACACAGATCTACAGAGAAACTCAGATTAAGATTCTTCACAAGGCTGGATACCAGCTAGACCACAGCTCAACCTGCTTCTATCATCGTAATCCAGATATTAGCACAAGATGCCTAAAGGACAGCACATCCCTCATCTGAGTCCTTCTGCTCCCTTGAAACATGCAAAACCCAAAGCAGCAGACCAAGAATTTTAAATCCACCTTCCTTACAGCAGACATCCACTCTTGGTAAACCAGTTAGCAGTAACTCCACAAGGACAGCATAGTACTTCAAGAATTAATAAAGCTTTCTTAACTGGGTAATGGAATGTGGAAATTTGCTTTAGAGAGGAGCATCACACTATAATACCACAGAAAATTACGTTAAGTCTGAGTTTGTTTCAAAGCATGCGTTGATGTCTTGTGATTGGCACCAGACACCATTACTTATTTCACTGCTTTTGGGCACAATCTCCATTCACCATCGATACCATTGCTGCCAATCCATCTCATCCCCTAACTGCCACAAAAGAGAATCCTCCAGTCCTCTGCTTCACGTACTCCCCTCATTCTTGTAACAGCCAGCAAAGGGGCTGTCAGGGAAAGGAACATTCCAATGCTATTTCCAACAATAATTCTTACTACTACATCTAAATTGGAGGAAGAGGGATCCTTAAATAGGTAAACATTAAAATGTCTTTTTTTTTTTTTTTCCCATTTTAAAATGAACACAGATAACATAAGGGAGTGAGCAAACAAGAAAGAAAATGCTGTATGTTCATTACTGAAGCTCATCTAATTGTGGTCTGTTACCTAGGTTGTGAAATCACGAAGGCAAGTACAAGACCAAAGCCAAAACAGTTCCAATTTTTTATATTTCCTAATCTGAAATACTTTATGTGCACCTGAGAACATATAAAAGGCATTTTAGTATGCGTAGGCAAGGATAGAGACTGTGACAGGTCACACTCTAACCCCAAAAGAACTCCTCTGTGGAGTTTTGGGAAATGTGAGGTATTGACTAAGAGAAATACTGACTAAATTAGCATCAGAAATGACCAGTGTGTTCTTGCAGCAACAATGTTTTTTAAGTATCTTTCTTTTTCATTAACTAACATTACAGCTGTTTGTGGGAACAATTAAAATAACTAGATACAAAGCATTTATGCTTTTAACTATGTTTTTAGACTTACCTTGCTAATCTCTGCTTCATATTCCCGTCTCAGTTCCCCAGGCTTGCTTAACTGGTGTTGTGGATGGGGGACACAGACTAAAAGAGAGGAAAGAAAAAAAAAGTGAGGAACAAAGCAAGATCATAACAGTCAACAACCAAAGATTTTAACAAAAGATCACTTCCATACCCTGTCACAGGAATGATCTGGCCTAAATCAAACGCTGTGGGAAAAAAACACTTTGTGTTACAAAAGAACAAAATAAAAAAGCACCATGTTACTGAGTGGCAAGAATGGTGTTTTTCAAGCACTGTATATAAAGCAAATATGAATGGTGCCTTAACTCATGTCTTTTGCTCTTTGCAACTAAAAAGACTTCATAATACTGCAAGCGGAACAACGTGTCACAGGGCCAACCTACCAATTAGCCTCCTCCAACAGAGTTTACAACACAAGAAAACCCAAAATCCTTCTTCAGAGAGTTAATCAGATTTCACTTCCTCTTCTCTGATACCACAATTTTAGGCTCACTCAGAGCCTCCAGCATTGACTGAAGCCCTGGAATTTCTACGCCAACTAATTAACAGTATCTAAGAGTTGAAAAAAATTTAACCACTTCACTTACTTGAAAGCAATAAACACACACACACAAATATTCCACTTACAGATTTTACAGTTGTACCAGTAATGACCTACTGCCTTTGCAAGGACAGGCAGTTGTACACTCACGCTTTGTGCAAAATCCATGAACAAATATCCACCGAAGTGATCAGTTAATATAACTTACATGCTGTACTACAAACGAAAAAAGCCCAGACAGCCATTTCTCTGCCTTGCGAGCCCCTGTCACAGGCAATCTCTGACACTGCATTTTCTAGCAGCAACACAGCCTGTTTCTTATATTTCACAACATCCAAAGTCCACCAACAGTAATTAAAGCAGAGACATCCCAGGACAAGTGACATTTCACTTACTTTCCTCTTCCAAATCCTGGCCGTTAATCCTACGCTCACACTCCTTTGGGTAATTCTTCTGAATCTTTTCCCAGAGTTCCCAGTTGATAAGAGTATTTCTGCGGGCATTATATCGTGCCCAAGAAGAGACCCGCCGCCGACAAAAAGGGCAGCAAAGGCTGGCCTTTTCAACAGTCAGCTGGAAACAAGAATTACAGAGGGTATGGTTGCATGGCAGCGTCACCGGCTCCACAAAGATATCCATGCAAATTTGGCAGAGGCAGTCAGACAAGGAAAGCGGAGCTTCAGATTTCTTCGACATGCTGACTCGAAATAGAGAAGCACGACTAGTACATCAATACCTGAAAGCAAAAAGAAACATGTATTTTAATACTTGTAATGAATATAAAAGAAAATAGAAAATGCTCAGTTTTACAGCTATGAAAGCATGTGGATTATTTACATTTATGAAAGCATCAGTGGATTTAAGAAGTCTGCTTAAGTGGTTACTTTTGCTCACAATCCGAGAGATTCTTGACTTTCAGAGAAAGACACAGATTTTTCCAGAAGTCATAGAGAAACAGTAGCAGGTTTTCCTACTGCACTTTCCTGTAACATGGTTCGGAGATAGAAAGGAGGTAGTGAGAAGAGGAGGGAAAGAAGGTGAGAGCTCTTCCAGCATTTACTCTCTACTAGCGATAAGCTACACTCACATTTGGTGGATATATTACCACAGTTACCTTAACCTTCCACTCAGGCCATTTTTCACCATCCACACATCCTTCAAAAGCTGTTTCTGGTACAGATTTGGTTCCAGCATGTTCTAAAGGTGAAATACAACATCCCTATGCACCAGAGAAGAAGAGGTTCTTCCTTGTTCATTCATTTGCTTAAACCTGGACTAAAAAGTCAAAATACCTTTTGTTAGTAGAAGCAAAGAACTAACCAATGTGTTCAACACTTCAGCATCTTCTTGTACGGCTTAAAATGGTGGGGATCATTCAGCCTTTCTGTCACCAGCCCTCCTCACAGGATTTTTTCCACTTGGCCCAAAAATACTGTGGAACAGAAAATAAAAATAGGAGACATACAGCAAAAAGGATAAAAATACTGGTTTTTAAGTTATAGGAACTTAGGAGCTTCACAACAGCCAGCTTCACAGGGACAGGAAGTCCTTGTGAGGGAAAGACTGCAACTTCAGTCACACACAAACTCGACACAGAGACAAATACACTTTCGGTTGGGTTTTATTGCTTCTGCCCGCCCTTTGTTAATAAAACAAAGCTTTTCACTTTTAAAAAAGGGCGTTAGTTAACACGGGAAAACTCGGTTTCGCAGATGGTTTGTTAAAAGAGCTAGTTAGGCCCACGGATACCTGTTCTGTGCTCACTGCAGTTTGTACCGCGGCAGGAAAAGGGGTCGGTCAGTCTCTCCGAGAAGGAGCG